CTCAATGAAGTCTTGCAATAGCAACTCATTTCAACCAGAACATCATTACAGAAGAAATAAAGCATTACAGTTTGCTGTACTTTACAGTATACTTTTGAACTGCTTTATGCAAAAAAAAATCTAGGAGAGATTTTGAACATTAAGCATATTGGAGTCACAGTCCATATCAACAGAGATGTTTTATTCTGCAAACTTCAAGCACACAATAGAGATGTTTCATCCTGTAAATTTCAAACAGTAAGGGGCCAAAGCAAAAGCAAAACAACGACCTGTGTTCTGTGTGAAGGCGTGCACAAGTAAGGGAGCTCATGTCAGGAATGGCCTGTGAAAATTCTTCTCCCCTCATAACAATAAAGGTAGGACTTCAAGGAGAGTGAGACTTACTACTGGGATAAAATTTCTCACTGAAGTTTACTTGAGAAGAAAGTCTCCAAGAGCCAGGCTGTAAGAAAAGCAAGAAAAGCTTGAGAAATCACAGAGAAAGAGTACCTCTTCAAATGAACTAAAACAAACCAACCGCCCCCAGTTTTCCAAATGCCTTTCTCACATGGAGCAGGAAATGCAGCTGTGGGGAGATGGGGTGAGCCGAGTGCCAGTGACTCAGCACACATGCTAGCAAGCAGAATTTTGCATTAGCTAAAGCAGAGAGGGGAAGTAAGCAAGTAAGAAAGGAAGATGCGCGCTGGAATTGTCTTTCTTCATGCTACAACACTAAATACACAGAAAAGGCAACACAAAAATACCAATATAATTATTGCCAGCAGAGAAGATCCACTGGATGAAAAAAGATCCAAGCTGCCATTCACTTTCTAAAATTGAGTGACATGATGTGAAAAAGAGTAGTATCTAAACATATATCAGCTGAATAACATATTAAAGAAGTTTCTTTAACTCGAGCCAGGTTTCAAATGGCCTAAAGAAACCATCTGTTTTAAATTAGAAATGTAGAGAATATACTGCCTTTAGCATAAATTATTTCTTTTTAAAACAATTTGAAAGTATCTCCATATAGCTCTTTTAATACCAATAAACACAGCAATCCTGCATAGGAACCTATCAGCACAGCTTGCTCTGGCTTTTTACTCTTCAAAAGAGAGGTAATGATTTCTGGTACCATTACATCTTGGAGACTGGGGATTTAAATCTTCAAGAACCTCTCAGGAAGACTCAAGGCTGTGGGTTTCCCAAGCATTACTGGACACTTTATTTGCAGTCTACTCAAGTTAACAAAGGAAATGCTGTGCCTACATTTTTTTCCAACCTAGAAAACAACCTGGAATAACTCCAGCCACTCCAAAACAGAATTCTGAGACTCAAAACCACAGCAGCAAATCATGTGGGTAAAGGGGTTTGCAGTGTAAGGTTCTAGTAGATGTTTCATCAGCGAAACAGTGAACACTGTTAGTTCCAGTTAAAACATCACAACTTGGCTTGATAGATAAAAAAAGCTAGTAAGAGCACTGAATGAGAAATCTGGAATTTTTATTTCCTATTTTAAAAGGAATCTATTTTCTACTATTTTCTAGTATTGCACAAAGACCACCTTTATGCTATACTACAATTACTAGGTTCATCAATTACTGTACATCAGTTAAAAATATCACAAAAATTGATAAAAGGAAAATTGCAATACTTACTTGGTACTGCATAGAAGTGGTTTGTTTATATACTCTCTTGTTAGCTACACCTACAGAAAATATTCATTACTTCAGTGCAGTGGGTACTAAAAAGAAGCCATTTTAACAGTCCCATACTTAAAAAATTCATCTGAAAGTCTGCCACTCTTCATGCTGACTTGCAATCCAAACCAGCACGCAGACCTTCTAAATTCAGTGTCTCCTCTAAAATGATCTTAAAACATCTTTACATTTAAGTTACTTGAGGTAATTGTTTGCTGTTTATGGCTTTTCAGTGGTTAGCATGAAGCACAGGAGACTATTTAATAAAAACTAAGTGTGGTCAACAGCAACGCTGCCATGCTATTTCCAGACCATACATTTAATCAACTAGTAGATGCAGGAGAGGGATTCAGGATTTTACTGAGTTTTGGTTGCTTGCAGTGGGAGCAGAGGCCTTCCTTTAGCCACTCACAGGAGAGGGATGCATTTTCAGCCAAATAATCATATTTCCTGTAAAAGTATTTGAACAGGAACACAGTGTTTTGACAGAGCTATTGGCCTTCTCTGGACACCTTATGGCTTCCCCTTTTGGAGAAAGGTTGCTGGAACAAGTACTTTTTCATAATTCTGTCTGGCTGTTTCTAAGCCAAAATTAAGGGAGGCACATAAAGTTATGGAAGGGTAAGATGTCCTATTTTTGTCATGTCTAAATCTTCAGTTTCCCTCAGAAATGTAACAGCAGCCTAAACCAGAGTTTTGCACAGAAACAATCCACTCCAACACAAGCTAACTTAACTTGCTGTTCTGGGAGGATGCATGGAGCTGTTTTAAGTAGTCTGAAATCCTCAGCAGCTCTGTTATTTCTACTCATACATAAAAGTAGAGACAGAAAAATTTGTCATGAGTTATTTTGTCCAGGAGATGAGACACACCAGAAAGATTCTTATTCAACTGTTATTGTAGGACACAAGGAAGAGTAGCACATTATCTGCATAGCACAGATGAGATGGACTGCCTCAGCATTAACAAATTCTTGTATCATTTTTGCGCTAGCAGAAATTTCTTCTGAGGAAAGGAATTCACAGCAAACCCCCATTTTACCAGATAAGAATATTACATGTAAACCCATATCTACCCACAACTTCTTGCTCTGAAAGACAACTCACGCATTTTGAAAAAAAGTTATTTATTTTCACTGCTTTAATCTTTCTACTGTAGTGTTAGCACTTAAGATAAGCATCCACTCTTCTACTACCCTATTTACAATCCATTGAAATGTATACTCTACAAATACAATACATATTTTCAGAAATGTAAGGGAAATGCACAATTTGGTAAGGTTTAGAAAAGTGACACGCATCTGTACAGGATCCTCAAATCATCCAAAAAAGTAAAATTTACAAGGCAGTATCCACACAGCTATGTAAGGGCAGGTGCTACAGTGACAAAGCAGCAAACTTGCTAATACAATAAAATACAGAAAATTAAAGTGTTTTGGGGCACCAGATAATATACTTAGTACCGCTGAAGTTGTAAATTTAGAAATACCCATATTTCTAGAAACATGTAACTGCAAACCTGGAGAACGTTCTGAAAAATATTAAACATTATATACACATGAGGTAAATGTACCTTGGTCTTTTAAGAGGTAATTTGACTTTAAAGCAACTGATATGGTGAAGGGTTTGTTTGTTTTTTAAACACAATGATTAATACCTTGCAATCATTTCAATGGCACAACGTAAACGAGGAACTAACTAAAAGGTGAATTTCATGGCAATCACACTCAGAGCCATTACTGAAAAAATAAAATAGCCTCTTACTTCATTTGACACCTTCACATCCCCATACAGTCAGTCAATCCCAATGTCTTTACCTATATACAAAGTCTTTCTTAGGATTACAAGTGGAACCATTGGAGGGTGACAGTGTGTCATACTTGGAAAGTCCGCTTGAGAAACTTCCCAGAATTCCAGCTTTTAAGGTTGTAACGTCCCTGAAGAATTCCAGCAGTCCAAAAATGACATTTCAGGCTCTTCAGCATCAGACCATTTCAAATGCTCCTTGTTTTCCATGTCCACATCCCCCTGGTCACAAGTCTGTAAACCAAACTGAGGCTTCAATGCTACTAACATGTAAAATTGATCAAATCCACAAAACTTAAGTGATGTATAATGTATGTAATATTTACAATAAACATTTGCATCAGTATTAATCAGAAACTGTTTTGGTATATACTTGAAATGATACAAAATTAATATTTTGAATGCTAAAATATTTTGGTCCCCCTGGATTTCCAAGAGCAGATCTGGTGATATTACAATCTTAATTTAAAAAATACTTATGTGTACCTGTGTCCATATATATAAGATATGATCTTACACAGGTAACATTTAAAGTTACATAATATATACAGACACAGCCTTTGTAAAAGGTGTTCAGTTGATATAATGGAAAAGAAGAACAAAGCTTGAAGTTGTGGTGTCAGAACTGAGGATACATATAGCTCTACTCAGAATTTTCCTGTTCTGCAGCCCAATATGAATAATAAGGTTGTTCCAAAATACTGTTCCTAATGTCATACACTGTGTCAAGCATCCTTCTGTGCTTTGTTTTTGCAAGGTTCTATTACAAAGCAAAATATTAGAACAAAGTAAAAATAGTTGCTAGCAATTCGGGAGAATGAAGATTTGCAGGTGGTTGAGACAATGTAACAAACCTCTACAGTTGACAGAATAATCCACATGCCATGATGCTGTTCAGCTGCTGTAGATCCCCTTTAAAATGACACAGAACTGTTCCTTATACTTTAGGAAATTAAACATTATGCTGATAAAGTTTTGTAGGTGCTAAAAAAGCCACTAAAAATTATTTGATGAATTATATTACCACCTCGTGATACCATCAAGACAACTATAGAGATCTGAGGCAGGACAGGAGCCTGATGTTTCTAAAGTATGATCTACATCATTTGTATCAATGGTAAGGACCCAACTACGTCTATGAAAACTTGAAATGTAACGAAGTTACAAAAAAAGCTAACAAAGCTAAATAGGAAGCCTATGACATTATCATGGAGATACAATAAGGCACACTTTGACACTGATCTGTTTTCTTTAAATACGTGCCTAAATATATAGAACTTACTAGAGAGGCATGCCAGGTAGATAGGTTTTGGAGTTAAGTTATATTCAAGCATTGGTTAGATTTTAGAAAAATGTTCTTCACCTAGAAGGTGGTTGGGCACCACAACAGGCTCCCCCAGGGAAGTGGTCACAGCACCAAGCCTGACAGAGTTCAAAAAGCATTTGGACACTACTCTCAGGCACATGGTGTGACTCTTAGGGATGGTCCTGTGCAGGGCCAGGTGTTGGACTTGTGGGTCCCTTCCAACTCAACATATTCTGTGATTTTTTCTGAACACTCATAACTGAAAAATGCTGTGGTGCACAGCTGTCCATGTGCACACAGGCATAGCGTATTTAAATACCTACATGAAGTAACTTTTAATTCAGCTTTGATTGATGGAGGCCTGAAGCACATAAGCCTGACTTGTTAGATAGTGCCAAACAAACACAACTGTGACAGCTGTACATATGTTTAAGCCTAACTGTTTTCCTTAGTTTTTCCTTTTCTCCTGAATGCTGTCTTCCAGTATGAGTAAACTCATCCATAAATGTGGCCAAATAAAGCATTTCATTATTTGCAGTTCAACCTCTGAGGGTCTGTAATTCCCAAATCAACCAAACTGACCTCCAAGCAGGCAACAACACAGAAGTTAGTGAAGTGCAAAGGCTTATCTTGGCTAAGGCTTAAGTCACCTATGTAGCCTCTTCTTACTAGGCCCCACTCATCTTCCTGCTTTAGCTACCACGTCACAGACTATGCTGCTGTCAGCAATCACTGCTACCAGCTTTGTGATCAACTCTCAGTGGGCTGAGGGATGAAAGGGAAGCAAAGATAACATTGCCATGTCTGTTGTGTAACGGGATGGGTAAAGATGTGTTCTGAGAGTAGGAGGTGAGGGGGCATATTAACTGCCAGGCATATTTACACACTGAAATACTATGGACTGTTTTGGGCATTGATGAAACCAAAGGTCAACCAGACTCTTCCTAAAACTGCAATTAAAATATCCTGGTAACAGCAGTTTTTTAGGGACAATTTTCCATTTAATTCTTCCCATCCCCTCCAGAAGTTGTACATTTGGGCAGGAAGCAATTCCATTTCTATACAGGTTTGTGAAGATTTTATGATACCCTTAAAATCTCACGGAAATCTTGACTAAAGCCATGCATATTCTTTTGTGTTCTTATGACAACACAAGTCACCATAAGCTTTGTTCTTCTAACTATGAAGAGGATTGCTGGAATCCTCTGGTATTTTTATCCAAAGACCTGCAGCTCACCACTTTGTGTATGAGGCACACAACATATATGCACATAAAATCTTTAAGCAGCTTTGAACTTTCTAGTACAAAAGCCCAAATAACTTTTCTCTAATTACAGGTGCACTTGATCCTCATTTAATTGCAAATATTGTTCTTTGAGCCTTAAGACTCAGCAGAACTGCACAGAAAATATGCTTTTCATGTTTGATTTAATGAAACAAAGTCTCCCTTAAGAACATTTTACTCTTCTTGCTACTTTTCTGAAGTAAAGAGGTACTTTAAGCATTTTAGAAGTACCACTTCATTAAAAAAAAAAATCATCTACATGATTATGACTCATAACTTGACAATTACAAAATATGACTGAATTTACTATCTTACACTATTTAAAACTCCTACAGTGGTATCAAGAGTCAGATTTTGGTAAAATCAAAAACATTCCATGAATTACGTTGCTGAAACAAGTGAGAATTAGATCTTAGCTAGGCAAAGGAACAGTTGATTTTTAACTTGTATTTTTGAAACCAAAAGTACCAAAGGCTTCATATGTTCCTACTGTTTTGCATTAAAAGACTCAAAAGTGGCACTTACTGGTGTGATACAATCTATTTTGAAGGCAATGTAATGTTCTGAAAAAGTGGAAAAAACCCAGTAATCATGTATAAGGTATAGTTGCATAAGTTATGTTCCCACAACTGAATGAGGTCAATTTGTAAGTCAAGATCAGAGTCCAAAAGATACACTACCTTAATAGCAAGCAAAGTATACTCCAATAGTACATTCACAATCTGAATCAAGGAATTGAGACAGTGGTTCAGAATAGTCAATGTACCAGCCAGGAATAAAGTTGCCTGAAGAGCCATTGATGCACTTTAGAACAATATAGTGAGCCAGTTCCATTTTAGAAATGACCTCCTACTTTTAGCACAGTTAACTAGTAAAAACCAGCTATCAACTTTCCAAATAAAAAATTACAAGTTAATAAAACTAGAATACATGATGTTTTGTAAGTAACCTGGGAAAGAGGTTCATAGTGCACAGAAAGGACCCAACACAACTGTTTAGCACATCCACAAAAATCCTAATACGTGACGTTCCTATGAAGTACTAAAAGGCAGCAATATCCTTCTGTTCCCCCAGTGAGGTAGAACAATTAACCATCTTAACACGCCACTCTGGTGCAGATAGGGATTTTTACAGTGTTCTTCGGTAGCAAATCCAGGATTACATCTTTATCCCCTCCTGTTGACTAAGTTGCGATAATGTTTTCTTAATGCGCAAAGCTGTCAGCCTGGCAGCTCCGTTGGCATACCAGCATTCCCGCATAATTTTTGCCATTACTCGCAATGCCTGCAAAAGAAAGACAAGTCATTATATGTACTGCTGTTCCAATGCAGCCCATGGAACCACTGTTCTGCCTTAGCATCTTCAAGCATTTCTGAAGTCTACTACCAGTGCTACAGCTGCATGGAAGAGTGTGCTGCCTGAAAAAAAAAAAATCAAATTCTTACTTTATTTACAGAAAACCAAAACTCTCTAAATACTGTAGAGCAAACCCAGTATTTTACAGCAGGTTTTTGGCCCATGAAAAAATATTTTAATGAAAAATTAGTAGCTTGTCTGTAACTGTTTTCTGAATTTTCATATTAGACAAAAATACGCTTTTTTAAATTGTACCTCCAGTTAAGGAGTTAGTTCAGTACAAAGCAATTAAGAAATTTATCAGCTGTCTTCCTCAAATCGAACCTCTGTAATGAGACTGAAAATTTTTGGAGTACTTGTATCCTTTAAACAACCATTCTTTGAAGTCTGTTACTTGTGTAGTAGCATTCACAAAGCAAATCACAAAAACTGAAGATGTTCCAAAATTTTACACTGAAAGTTGTATTACACTGATAGGAAGTTATCAGGATTGAAGTGTCATCATTTAAAAAAATAACTCCACAGCTTGCTAGTGAATATCATCACCTTTCTCTCCTTCCTGTGTTCTCTTCCAAAATCGCCTACCTCAGGCATTCACCCATGCATTCATTTCACACGTGCCACAACCTAGTTCCCTCTAATGTATCTAATGTACATCATATCTTATCAATCCCTTACTCCTCCTGTAGCCTACCACAGCTGTTCTCCTAAGCTGTGAATCAGAAAGCACTTGTTCTAGCCCTAGCTGAGTTCCCAGAGCAATGGAATATTCCCTCTGACCAGTTTGGGTCAGCTGTCCCAACTGTGTTCCTTCTCATACTCTTGTCCAACCCCAACTCACATGAGAAATGGAGAATGCCTTGAAGCTGTGTAAGCACTGATCAGCAATAGCTATCAGTGTGCTATCAAACTGTTTTGGTCACAAATCCAGAACACCACACCGTACAGGCTGCTATGAAGGAAGTTAAGTCAATTCCACTTAGACACAGCACAACTCCCTGCTGCAAAATTTATTTGCAATGATGCTTTCTGCATAATATAATTCAGACTAGCTCTAATTTAAATAGCATCACCTATGCTTCACAGGAAGGATCCTAGAATCCTGCATGCAGAGTTAGCTATGAGTTTTTACGAAAATACATTTAAATACTAGTGTATAACCAAGGAACAATGACATTTAATAAAGCCACAATGATCAGAATGAAATTAATTAGGTTCTCCTAGAAGCAGCTCTTCTCCATTCAACAACAAGCACAGTTTTTAAGCCACTGAAATCACTAAAAGCTCTAGTGTCTGCTAAAGCAGCTTTAACAAGGTTAGTTAATACCTCACAACTCTGCCATCTGTTTGGAATATTGGGCCTTAACTTCTGCTCACACACAACTTTCCTCATTTCTTCAACAGAAGGATCTGAAGGAACGAGGTCATAGTATGGCAATTGGTAATCTTCGTGGATTCCTGTAATGGGTTGAAAATGGCTTTATTTTAGCTGACATTAGATGACATATTTTCTATTTTTTACTGTCTTCCTTATTAGTACCCTACCAGTTTTTTGTTTTTATTTTTAAAATTTACATTACAATGACTGACAAATAAATAAATAATAAAAAAACCCTTAACCATACCTTGGGAGCATTTACATTACCCTTGAAGAATTTAAAATTTATAAAATTGGAAGAGATATAAGCTACGTCAAATCTTTCATATGCTATACTAAAGACATGCTTCTTCAGAGCATATAATTAATAACAGCATGCTTCATTTTAAATAAGGTATAGATTTTATCTGGACACATTTTAGCTAGTTCTCACTTGTAGTGTTTGCCCCTTGCTCACAGAACACTTAACTTCACCCTTTTCTCCACTCTATGTAAAGTTTTATAAAAAAAGAATAGACATGAATATTTCCTCTTTTCTTCAACAAGTATGGTTCATCAGTTTAGAATGAGGTTGAATAGACCAGTCATCATTTACAGCATTAACAATTAGAAAGTCTGAGACATACTGGCTATTACCTTGCACTGTTTTTAGAGCAAACTGTTATCAGAATCTAAATAAGTTTGAGTACGTTACTTAAAATTTCTTAGTATATACAATTTTGTAAAGATTGTCACGTACCACCAATTGAACATCGCCGAGCAATTTCCCAAAAGACTAATCCCATTGCATAGATATCTGCTCGTTTGAATGACTCAAAATGTTTCATATTTATGGAATCATCTAGAACTTCAGGAGCCATGTACCTGTTTGCAATAAAAAAACCCATTTAATTTCATAAACACTTAGAGCAGAGAAAGTTCACTACTACTGATCAGCTCAAAACCAAATTAAAATGTTTATGCAGAAAAGAGGACGAAGGAAAATCTGCTTCATTAAGGTTATTCAATCACAGACCTTTCAGTGCAAAGGGGATAAGTAAACTGAGAGGAATAAGCAAAGAAATGGGGGGGAAAAGTAAATGTGAAACTACAAACAAGTAGAGCCATAAACAGAGACAACAACAAAGACCAAAAGTGTCCAGTTGCTAATTGATAGGCTACTAAGAAATTCATAGATTAAAGAGAGGCCCAGTCTGGACACTGTGAATGCTAATAAATAGAAAACAAGAGGAACATGAGGACTGCGGATACTCAAGGGAGGCCTGTGGGACTATGCAATGCTCATCAAGGAATGTTTAGGAGAAAGGGAACAGAAGTGGGGCAATAGACAGAAAAGGGTAGCAAAGGGGTCAGTTGCATAAAAGGTTGCCAGTCTGCACGTGCTCCCCAGTGTACCCTATTTTATTAAATACTATTTTTCTGTGCAATCTCACTCTCAACCCCATGTGCACATGTTCTCTAAGAACTATATGTCAGCAACTGGAGGCAAGTATGAGTGAATTCAGGTCTAGCAATTGGAGTGGGACAAGGGATGAAGGTGCCCTCAGGCCTGGGGTCACAGCAACTAGAGAAAAGGAGGGTCTCAACATCAGTAGCTGAAAGGGGAAATGCAGATCCTAGGAGTACATGTCCACAGGTGTTAAGACCAAATATCTGGAGCAACTACGAGGGGACCAGTGTGAATAAATTCTAGGCAAGCAACTGTAGTCAGACAGCAGGTGAAGGAACCTCTGGTGCCAGCAACTAGAGTAAATGAGGGTCTCTGCTTCAGTCCCACTGAAGTGGGACCATGGGTCACAGGTTTCACGGTTACACCTTACATGTACCAGCTACAGGAGAGAATGGGGATAAGAAAAGCAGAGTAAGGGTCTCCGAGCACCAGCAACTGGAGTGGGAGTCACAGGTCTATGTGCCTGGGTGCCAGCTGCTAGGGTAGGCCAGGTGGTTTGCATTTCCCCAAACCTTGTACACATGGCTGGTGTACATGGCTGTAATTCTCTAGCAAACTTCAAGCTGGTCTAGACCAGCAACTAGGTGGCCTAGGCAGGGATGTTTGACAGGGGGGGTGCCCACACTGGTATTTGAGGGGGTATCCACGCATGTAGGGGTGCATATATCACCTGTTTGCTACTGTGCACTAATCCAGCTGATGAGTAGGAGACCCACGGAGCACCAAAGAGAGCATTAGACACAGAGAGTGTTGTATGGAGGGTTGAGGGATTCATAAACATGCATGGACTTGTGAGGCTGCAGAAGGGAGTGTGTGCTTTTCAGTAACGAAGTTCAATTCTGATCAGCTGAAGAGAAGGAAGGAGACTTGGCTGTCTATACTTATGTTTTATACAAGTTCTGACAGTGTTTTATGTGGGTGTTGAAGACAGCACATGGTGCATAGCAATCTGTGTAATCAGCCCTGTCACTACTGTATATATGTCTGTGTATGACTGGTTGAATCCAAGAAAGCAAGCAGCAGCCACAACCATGGGCCTCAGATGAACAGAGGACACACCAGCTGGGCTCCAGAGGGCAGGCAGGAGGAAGCCCCAGTTCCAGGAATCTGACAAGTTATAGCAGCCACTTAAAACATCCCCTAACAAGACTAGAGAGGGAATAGGTGTGAAGTGCTCCCTACCATTGCAGCAGCTCATTCTTCATCATAATAGTAAATTCTATTTGGGTTACACTTCAACAAGTGCTCACAAGCTTACTTTACCCACATTCCCAGCAAAAAAAAAAAAAAAAACACCAACCAAAAAAAAACTGACAAATTTCAACTGAGAAACAAGGACTGAAAACTGGTCATGGTATCCAAGCGATTGTTACCTTGTTTAGTGACTAAGCCTAATGTGAGAACGTTAAGCAAAATGTCAGTGTGGACCTTACTGACAGCAGCATCCTCACTGGCTGTTGGAAAGAATGAATGGTGTTTGCTGCATCAAGTCAACATCAATTGCAGTATTTGCTCTCTCATTCTGGTATGGCTCTGGCAGCTAAATCCAGTATGCAGTGTTTAGCAGAGTTCAGTGTGTTTCTCCACATCACTGCCCCATCAGCCTCAGGCTGACATAAATGAAACATGCAAAGAATGGCACCAGGGCTTTGGAGAGCACTGTTGACTGGTAGGAAAGCAACATCTATAGATTACTGGAGTAGAATACAGTGCCTGGAACAGCCACAGAAGCCTAGGCACAATTTCATTTAATCACATAATACTAGGGTTTTCTTTCTTTTGCAGAACCACAGATGGTAGAGAGAATATAAGAAACACTACTTAAAATAAATTTCAGGATTATCACACCCTTCAGAACTCTCTCAGCACTACTGTGTATTACGGAAATTACACAGACACAAGGAAGCAAGGGTTATCAAAAAAAGGAGCAAAACCACAACCAGTAGCTGCATCTGTTCTAACTACCCAGAACAAGGTTTGCTGACATGAGAGTTCTTCACAATTGATAAACACAGCACAAAGCAGAGGACAACCGTCTGAAGTAGAATGTAAGGTTTACTTTAATAGTAATTATTGAATGGAAGCTGAGTCAAGTTAAGTTTACATGTCACAAGCTTTAATACGGACAAGGCTCAAATAGTTCTGGTCCACCATATCAAAAACATCTTAATCAAGAATGTAAGACTGTGGTGAGTGTTTTAATGCTCTCCAAGGATTTTGCATTATTGAATACTCTTGTGCTACTTCATGTGCTTGACAGTATAGTAATCAGCTTGGAACCTAGCACAAAGCATATTTGTTCTATCTTAAGATCACATGGGGATGAGAAGAGTGATGGACCTTAAGAAACACCAAACCAAAAACCTCAACCATGGTGCAAGAGGTCATCCAGAATCACTTAAACAAGCAATAAAGGAGATTGTCTCAGCTTCTGTAAATCATCCTAAGGACAAGGGGTTTAACAGGCAAGACCATAAGAGACCTGAATGTGGCAAAAAATCCCTCCCTCCCTCCCCCCAGTGTGACTTCCACTGAATTTATGGGCAAAGTGACCTCTTACCATGATCCTCAATCAATGCATTTAGATTGACTTTGGCTTCCATAACACTGAATGGTGATTGCTTAAAAAGTCTGAGAGATTATTGCTGGGAGAGGCGAAAGGCAAGTAGGTCATCTAAGTGAGGTTAGCAGAAGAGCCATTCATGGCTGTTACACAAAAGGGAGAGAAGCAGGCATCTCCTTGTCAGCTTATGCACTGGAAATGCATTGCTTGTCAGAAACAGTATTTTAGGTTCTGGAGAGAGCTACTCTACACAGACTAACTCTGACCTTCTGAACAAGGTTTGCAGCTCTGTATCATCCAAGAATGAAAGCACAAATATACAGATTTGTTGAGTATGGTCTTGCCAAACTTTGGGTGCCTCCTGACCCCAAAAGCTCAGTATTAATTGCCTAAATTTCGTGTACAACATAGAGGGAGTTTGGTGTCATCAAACAAGACCCATACACAACACTACTGACTGTGACATCTCCATCAAGCCTATACTCACAAGGTAGAATTCTGCTCATATTTGATTCAGGTAAACTTCAGAGAAGCACCCATGTAAAGGAAGAATTTTCTGCCAAATGTCTTTTAAACACAGCCTATTTGAACTACCAAAAGTAACAGCTAGGCCACACTTCTAAAAGAAATAAAAAGAGAATGAGAATGAGGGCTTTTTTACTTGCCTCAGGGAGTGAGAGAGGGATTCTATTTCCTCCTCAGTTTAAAGCTCATGTTCCCTGCTTTATGCTGCAGGCTGAGCTATGAAAGCACACAGTTCACACCCTCTGGTAAAGCTAAGCCTCTGAACAGAAAAGAAATAAAGTCAGAAAAGAAGGATCATCAGTTTGACTCAACACCTCATTCACTCACCCAAGAGTGAGTTTGCTTGCTCCCTAGACCATACATTTTTTACAACAATCATTAGAGAAATATAAACTTTGTCAAATCCCCCTGAACTTGTACACAGAGCTTCAACGTGCAGAAGAGCTACCAGCAGTGGCAATCAATGGGAGCTAAAACTGTCACTGAGCAGGTAGGATTTGACCTGTACTACGAAAAATTAATCAGAGGTGCAGAGCAAGTTACCTAAGAATGCACAAGAAGGAGGAAGAGGGGACCAAGCCTTTTACAAGAATAAGCAATTTTCAGAGAGGTAGAAATGACTAATGTCTTTTAAATGGGAAACATATTAGTCCTGCAGGTGCCCACTGCAGTAAGCAAGAGTTGCTACAGCTTTACCCTTGAGAAGAAACATAAGGCAGATGAACAAGCAATTTAATAATGCCTATGCAAGAAGAGATCTGGTAAGTGGGATCTACGGACACAGCTGAAAGGATGCTTTCTCCAATGACTAGACTAAAGAGAGTAACCCATTTGTACACTGTTTTTCTTGGCACGTAGGTGTAGTAGAAAATACAAAATCACACGTGGTATGCGCCCTGCATGCAGCTAAGTTTGCAATGACAAATTCCAAAGTTAGCCTGCTGTTTCACTACCAATGATTACTAGAGACTTTGAGAAGGAATAATGCCCAGTACCTTGTAATGTAGCAGTAGTTCAGAAAATAAATCCTATCTGACAATTTGTGTGGTATTTTTAAAGCTGGCAAAGGACTAGTACAGCAGAGCTTTAGAACGAAGTAACTTCAATAATATAATTGTAAGAAAAATAAATTTTCAGTACATGTTCTAAAAGCTTTAGTTAATTGAGCCTTAAAATAATGTTTTGGGGTTTTTTCCTTCCAAAAAGACACAGCTCAAGGGGCATCCTAGTTCACAGTAAAACGCACATCGCACCGCTCCCCTGCAATATCACTACCTATAGAGATGTGGACTGGAAACTAGGCAACATCCAACACAGAATTTTCTCTAACACTGCTAAGGCATATAGGCTTGGCTGTCACACATTTCTCCATGACCAGTGTCCAAACTTCAGTTTGCCATATGACTGAACTTTTAGGCATCAAAAGAACAAAACGTTCCGACATCCCCAATGGTTGCTATGGTTCACTGTTAGTGTTGCTATCTCTGTATGCTGTATAGCTGCACAGCTTACTAAAGGAAATTTATCTTCAGAACAGCTTACAGTTATTATTGTCTGATGGTTCAGCAATGATAAATTACAGCCAGTAAGTTTATTTGCAGTTTGCTGATGGAGTTAAATAGCTTCAAATTCTTTTGAGGGCAAGAAAAATCCGTATTTCCAAATGCAAAAGTAGTCTTTTAGAAGACTCATCCATTGATGATTCTATCTATGCATTAGATGACAAAGAGGACTGCTGTTTTAAGTTCTTGTATTTCTCTCAAAAATGTGATTCCAGGAAAGAACGTGTCCAAGACTCTGCACCTTTTATGTTCTACCATATAGGCTTCACACTGGAAAACCTCAGCTTTTTACTTTCAGTGTTAATATCCTGTCTTACACTCCTGCCTGACTGGGCTGCAAGTAACATTTTCATGCAACACAAGGCAAGAATAAAGCACTGAAGTCTCTAAAACCATCAGTCTTGAAGTCTCTTAATTGTTTTAATACATACTTGTACCTACAATATTTTGCAAGTTTTCAGTATTTTACACATGCCAACAGTCAACATGCTTTAAAATTCTTACTCTCTAACTATATCTGCCATTACGTTTCCCTGCTGCTTATATCTATATCAACAAAAACCTATATGGGACAAGAAAAAAAAAAGCAGACATCGCCTGGCACATCATGTAAATGATTTTACCTTTTTGTTCCCACTCTGTGGTTTGGGGCAATATCAATTGTGTCTGTAGCTGAATCATGCCTAACTGCCAATCCCAGGTCTGCAATGCAGCATGTTCCATTCTTTTTCACCAATATATTTTTTGATTTCAAATCTCTGTGAGCAATTGCTGGTTTGCCTGGAAGGGAAAAAATAGAAATAACATATCTAAAAAAAAAAATAAAAAAAACGAAATAAAAAAAATCAAACTGCTTTTATTCTAAGCCTGGTGCAAATTTTGTTTGAAGTTACAGAATTCCTTCCAGTTCTGACACTTTACGTGTATCAAGGTAACTCCTGAAATCATTCATTGTGGATTGTCTGGCTGTTCAGGAAAGGGCCTCACATTTACCATATTACACCACTCTACTGCTCCTTTCCCTCTTCCTGCAAATATTTACAGCACACACATACTGCTTCCCATAAAAAAGTTTCTAACATTTCTGAAAATAGACCCTTAGTGCTGTCTCAACTTGAAGTTAAGAAGACACTACATGTACCTTTAGTTGGTGCCCTTTAATAGTTTTTTTTGTAGGAATGATTGTTACATCATAATGCCATAGAAAAAAAGACAAAGAGCTGTCCAAATTAAGTTCTATTAATAAGAAATTATCACATAGTAGAATGAACTACTGATGTGTCATTTAAAAAAAAAAACAAACAGAAAACCAATCAGTATTATCCATGTGACAAGCTGAAAAATTGTAAGATTACCTTGTGTGCCAACAATTTCCATGTGCAGATGAGCAAGACCACTGGCAGTGGACAAAGCTAATTTTATCATTCCTTCCACTGTTACTGTATACCTGTTCAGGTAATCAAAGAGTGATCCATGCTCGTGATAGTCTGACACCAACCACAGCTGAGTCCATGTACCATTGTCTGCAAAATAACACTGGCATGAATAACACACGTACACACACGAAAGACGAGTAAACCACATATTCCAATTCTATACAATGTTTATGAAGCACAAATTATGTTTTGCAAGTTAACTCAGCAAGTTAGATTCTTAAATCTTTATTTCTATCCCTGTAACATTTAAACACCTCTGTAAGGGCTGACAATATCATGGGAGGCTTTCTGAACATCTTAGTAAGTATTCTTTTATTTAAACTAGAAGACAAACCATAGAAAACTCATGTCACTGTAATTCTGAGGTGAACATTCAGAGTGAATTATTCAGGTTATTAGCCAGGCCCTGCCACTCCCAATTGTTCTGCTGGAGTGTGGGGAGGCAGGAAACAGTGCTGAATGCACAACATAAAACTAATCCTGTCACTATCAGTCTAGTACAATATTGTCCAGGCTAACCATTAATTTAAAAAAAAAAAAAAGTGTTTCAAGCTATGCCTCCTAACTCCTTCAGTCTTCCCATAATCTGCCCTCAACCTGGGAGACAATTTCCAGAGTTACCAGCAGCTGGTGGATTTTTTTTCCTAGAGTAGAAGCTTACAAGCAGCAATTGGACACATGACTTCAAGAATAAAGTTAAATCCCACCTCTAGTGACCTCTAAATTGCTAGCCAAAATTGAGATTTCCAGGAGGCACAAGAGTAAAGAAAAACACTGAGAAAACCAGTTTGCTGCATGACTTTTGCTGAACTGTGAAAAACAGGACAGGCCATAATACATGTGTAGATATTCCAGGGCATATAAATGACAGATAAGAACTTAGTTGTTCACATTGTAAAGTACTGGACACAAAATACCTTGATGTTTAAGCCACACAGAGGAGACTATTAAAGCACTCCAAATCAAGAGAGGGGCAAAAGGATTTTTTACCTAAGATGTAAAAACACACTCGGAAAAGAACAATTCTGCCACCAAATAGGTTTTCCAATTTTGTTTTGTTATGAAAGCAACTCTCCTGTGGCAGACCTGAGAAGTGCTTTTATAGCTAGCAACTTTTGAAGAAGAATCTTTCATCTCTTTTGAAGACTAACTATCCCATAGAAGATTTCAACTGGACTTCTATCCTGAATTATACAGCCCCCACGTGCTCAGAACAAGTGAGAACACTCAGCAGAAGTCAAAAAGATGTCTCATTACGTATTAGTCCCTAAGAATTACTCAGGAACTAAATACAAAGAACATGAAGCAGAGAAGTCAATTCAGGAGTTAGTTCCTATCATAAACACACTGAAAAATTTTTAGTTTCCAAAGAACACACTTGCCTCATGAAAGTCAGAGGCACAAAATGCCTGATTTACAGATTGGCAGAAACTACCTTCACGAAAGCACTTATGCTTATCTTTAACTGAACACTTCAGCGGGTATGGGAAAATTTGCAAGCATGTCTTTTACTTGGATGTTCCTAGGGAGGCCAGCGACGACGCCACTAAAAACAATCTGAAAAAAAAAAAAGGCCTCCAAATACTTCAGAGTAGGGAAATAAAAGGCTAATCTACATTCAAATAATTCCCATAACGGAAAGAGAATTCTGGCTTGCTACATTCACAGAATAGTCTCAACTAAGTTGTTAATTTAAACAGCCAAAAGAAAGCAGTCACATGCTCTAACCTGTAAAGGGCTGTTTGAAAGCTGCTATTGCAGCAGGAAGAGTCTTATAATATGCCCAGACTTGGGCACAGAAGGGATGCCTGAGTTTTGTCTTTTAACAAAGAATAAGGAAATTAAAGATTTTTTTAAATAGCTTCAATTATTTTCTAGAACTGGTCCTTCTCTTGCTACTTTGCAATATCCAAGCATGAACTCATTTAACTCAGCATAGTATTAAATGTGACTTTTCTCAAAGAGAATTATGGTCTCTGAAAAGTCAATCTAACAGCATTAGCTTCACTAAAAGCAGTCTTATAGACCCATTAGAAACAGGTATGAGTTCACAGCCACATAAGAGAGACTCTCAAATACATATAATCAAAGAGCTCCAAAGAGCTGCAAAAGTCCAAAGTAAACTAACTTAATCACTTCAGAATATTCTCTTCACTCAGTTTTATCCTACTGTTTCATCAGTTATGACCCTACACTGCCTTAAATAATCCTCTCCTAGGCATTAACACCATACACACTCATTGCTTGGTCCTGTATTTTATTTCTTCTCCTCTTTCTTATGAATGAGAGACCTCAGCAGGTGTCTAAATTAGACAACAAAAAGTAGAGAAATAAACTAATTTTAATTAATCTACCAGATTTGTTGTGTTTATATAAGCTCTTTAAAAGACGTCAGTTTCTGAATAATTATCACTGCTCTGAATCAAGACTACGGTGCCTTTGCATAAAGTTCCTCCCTCTTAACTCTACATGGCCACCTAAGAGGAGAATATGTTGCTGATTACAGACTTCTACTTCAGTTTTAACTCATTTATTACCTGCAAGTCTTAATATTCAGTTTTTACCTTCCTTCCAAAGAAAAAAATATAAAGCTGGCCTTACCATCCATTCTGAAAGGAGCCATGATTTTTTCGTATTATATGTTGTATTTGTGGCCCTTCAACCAGAGTTTAATAAGAGACAATGTTGCATCCAAGCTTACATGAATATTAATTACAGACAAGCTGAAATGCAGCAATAGATACAGTGTCCAGCTATCACAGGGGACCTACTATGTTTTCCTTGCCTTGCTGTATTTGACAAGCTACAAAATTTTTTAGCACATGAAGCAGAACACATTATGATAAACTTAAGTCTTTTTATACTGTTGACAGTAGTTAATTATTACCAAGTAATAATTAATCTGACCCTGAGTATTTTTGGCTGCACAGTAAACAGCATCTGCCATGAAGCTTTCAATCACAGGATTTGCATTATCAGGTAAGAAAAAGTAATTACACTCAGTTGTAATTAATGCAGTAGCACAGCCTTCCATGATAAGGTAATCTAATTTGGTTTATATACACACAACTATCAAGAATCTCAAGCAATTTCAGAATGTTGAAGAAAATTACAAAAAATTTACATATGTTATTAGAAATACATTTAAGAGACTAACTATGGTTATTTCATCTATTTGCAAGAGACCCAAAAGTATTTTAGACCATCAAAATCACTCAGAGGTAAAAGCTTTCCTTTTGCAATTCTAAAAAAAATAAACTGAAATTCTGAGTAAAGAAACTTTTAGATTTCTTGTTAATCAGGAGACTGATTACAGTTTGAGAAACACCTTAGTCAGCAACATCAACCTTAGTCAGGCTGACTCTTGAAAAAAGGAATTTATAACAACTGCTTTATCAAATATATAATCAAGTTTCAATTAAAATTCAATTGACTGAATTCACTTAAGTGAAAAGTGCTTCTTTCACATTGGCATTAGCAAAGCAAAAATTCTGACTTGGTACATGTTTGTTTTTAAATCAAATACTAGGTTTTAAGCCGTGACAGTATTGCTTGGCACAAGGGTTTTCAAACATACATTTATGTTACAAGTTGAATGTATAGAAGTTGTTACAGAAACTGCCTAATTCTATGTGTTCAGTAGTGTCATGTCATGTGTCAAGTGTTTTAAAGCACAGATTTAGCCTTTTTTGGCATGGAGATAATGTAACACACACAAAAAAAAACCAACATGAAAAAGCAGTGAAAATATAAGATTCAGATGGAATGTGTAATGAGAAAACTCTTAGAAATGAGATATTCAGGGAGATGTCAGTGACTGGAGGATGATCGGTGTTTTGTTAGCAAAACAGCTTTACTCTATTACATTGAGATAGTCATCTGATTAAATTGATGAAAAGCACTTGAACCATGTAGATTAGCAAGACCTTCCAGTCAAATTCCTTATTCTCAGGCTAAAGCCAGAGCTTCAAAAGAATAAATGGCTCAAATATTACTTTTCTCAAGAGGAAGGAATTCTGCTCACTTCTTTGCAGCATGTTGCTTAACATCATTCCTGGGGTTCTGCTTACCATTAAAGGTACTCTGAACAAAACTTCCACCAAGGGAAGTGCAGCTTTCAGTTAAGTGGAAGGGAGGTCAAAGTACTTTAGTGCTTTGGAAACGTGCAGTACAAGACTTTGCCTTACTTGTACCATGACTACACAGTTATGGTTACAGACAGCTAATCAAGAGAAACTTTTAGTACTGTAGGTTGCTGTCACTACTCTTTCGTTAGTAGAATAGCATAGATAAGTAGTCCCTGATACACTTTACCTTTAAATATCTGGGTTAGAGAGAACAAAATAAACCCACAAAACCCAAACTGTGTGTTTAGGTGGTTCATAACAAGACAACACATGGCCCTGAAAGTAATTTCTCTGACCTAGCAGTATTTGAAAGTTAGTGTATACTCGTGGCTAAGCACAGAGCTATCCAGAACACAAACACTTGTCAGACAGAACACAACTGCAGTTAAAAATCATTCACTGCTTCTCAGCTCTCAAGCTGGCTTAACAGCAGCATTTATTTCCCAGTAAATTATGGGACGGGAAGTGGATAGATTGGACCAGTTCCTATAGCCTTCTGAACATGCAGCTCTGGGGAAGAAGAGGAAGAGAATGTGCCATTAAGGCATGAGGACTGTCTAAATGGTGTAGTAGAACAAGAAGTGAAGACAGTCACAAGCTCTAATCTATACACACACCCTCCCACCCAAAGGAACCCCTTCCACCAATTGTACACTACGATGGCCAGACAGATGTTCCCCCGCAGTTGTGAAAAACATACAGTTGCAGTAAGAGGACAGACCTAAACAATGCCTTTAAGCAGTAGCAAGAAACGCAGCATGACTTTGTTTCAAAGCTCCGCTGTACTAGTCCTTTGCCAACTTTAAAAATACTTGTACTGCTGTATCTCTTGTAGTCATCTTTGCAACGTCTCAGAAATGCAGTTACATCTTGCAGTCTAATGACTTTGTGCATTCCAGATAGGCTGTAGGAACTCCTGAATGTATTCAGCAGTCTGCCCTGAAGCCAGGTAACACCTGA